GAAGGGGATCAGGCTGCCAACAGTGCGGATTGGCTTGGCTACTGCCAGTTATGCATGATAGAAAACAGGAATTTCAATCAAGATCACAGAATCACAGAATCACAGAACTTCTAGGTTGGAAGAGACCTCAAGATCATCGAGTCCAACCTCTGACCTAACACTAACAGTCCCCACTAAACCATATCCTAACCTCTTGTTGGATTTGGATTTGGATTTGGATTTGTTGTTGGATTTTGGGTTGTTGCCCAAACTCTGTTGTTCGGTCCTATGCATGATACATGGAGCTTTACATGGAGCTATCTGGCATTTTCTTTATCTAGCATTTCTTTTGATTTGTGCTTCAGAGCATACCACTATCTTTTCCCTGTGAAAAGTGAAGGGGGTGCATATTCCTTGGTGTAGGCTTAGTGGAGGCAGAGGTGAAGGTCTCCTTTTGGGGTCCTGTAGCCCATGGGTGCCCGAGCAGCACCCTTTGGGGTGCAAAAGGCACAGTTTCCTCTGCATGATGGCTTGTAAATATTTTATTTATTTTATTTTATTTTATTTTATTTTATTTTATTTTATTTTATTTTATTTTATTTTATTTTATTTTATTTTATTTTATTTTTTATTAAATAATAATAAAAAAGCACTGCAAATCTGCAAATCACAGCAGGATCATAGCTTGATATTATTATTATTTTTTTTTCCTTTTTTTTCCCCATGACTCAAGCAAAAGTCTCCATGAAGCTTCTCCTATTGACACTCCATCTACTCCCTGCAATTACAAACTAACAGAAAGTACAGCTCATGGAAAGGCAAGGCAAGAACAACTAAGAGGCTCAGAAGTGCATCCTGACACCTGTCAGTGCCTGACCAGCCTGCCAGCACCTCGCACGCTGACACTTGCTTTGGGGTGGCTGCCGACCCCATGCAGATGCTGAGCAGCTCTGCACTCAGGTCTGAGCACGAACCTCACCTCCTGATGCAGTCGGACAGCTTTTATTTCCTCATTTATCACTTAATCTCTCAAGAGGAATGCAATCACGGAGTGGCCGCAGCTATTTGCGAGTCCAGGCTGAATTCAGCAAACAGCTTCAGCCATGCAAAACATGAACACGGATCCTAGACAAGAGAATGCAGCTCAGTTTGTCATTGCTAACATTAACTATTTTGATTATTTGTACAATTTCTGTGCAATTGTTTTGCCATAATTCATTACACAGCAGAAGAGTTCTTCATCTTTCATTCCCCAATGGCTAACAATGAGGAAAATCCATTCCTGCCAGATCCAAACTTCTCTCTTCAAATTGTTCCCCCTCATCTGTAGTAAGGGAACATTCAAAGGGCTTAACCACGGGTGTGTGCTGGGCATTGCTCATCAGATCAGGGAGTGGGAAGAGGAGTAACCGAGTGCAACTGGTCAGGGTTTAGGGCCCTGTGGTGGGAGATCAAAACCTGCTTCAGCAGCCTGCCCCAAGGGCTGGGCTGTGGGCAAACTTGCTCTGACCCTGGCAAGTTGCACAACCTTCTCCTGCTGCATTTGGTGTCTGCACAAACACACATGTACACAGAGGAATTACAGGGAAGCTGAAGCAAGGGAAATCGTTGCCTGTATTCACATACGTGAGTGCCTGAGATCTGGTCCCAAGTGATACCCTTCTCCAGCATGGAAGCAATGCACTTTTTGGAAAACATTGCTCTAGGTGCACTGGGGAGTGAGGAGGCTTCTGTGAACCACATATTTACTGCAGACTGTCCACATTATATTACTGCAGGGGATGTTCACTGCATCCCAGCTGCTTCCCCTGGCAGAGGTGAGTGCTGCCAAGGCATGGCACTGGTGGCCACAGGAGCAAGCAGAGAGGACACATTTCTCAGAGGCTTCTTCTTGGGCTGGTTAACCTGCCCTTCCTTCATGCCACAGGTGTGATGTCTTTACACAAGGCACTTGTTTCACAGACAAGCCTTGTATGAACAGGAAAAGGCTCTGGAGACCTGTGCTACACACCCAGACTGCTGGTTTAATTTTCACCTGCCAAGCAGGAGAATAGACAGGTAAATATTTACACACAGAAAATTCTCTCACACTGAACTATTCAAGGAATTCAAAGCCCAGGAGAGCACTGCTGCCTGCAGAGTCAGTGTTCTTTCCCTCTTAACCAGGGCATTAAGCTGCAGTTAGCAATTCTCTGCAATCAATTTCTTCCCCATGTGAAGGGCCCAGGCCAGGATCATTCACCTGTTCTATCTGGTATAAACCCTTAAAGCCATTGTGTATCTGTGCAAGATGAAGCTGGCAGCTTTCAGCCTGTCCCACTATACATCCCCAAATGTTATTAACCTAACTGTGAAGGGCACACCGACACTGAGCCCTTCTGCCTTGCATGTGTGCCCAAGTAGCTGGGGGGTGTTTTTCCTTCCTCAGAGCTCCGGCTTCTGCAGGTACATCATCACCTGAGCCTGGCTTTTGGACAAAGTCTGCAGATGGAAACCATGCTCCTCGAGGAACAAGAAAGTAGATAAAAGGGAATTCGTGCTTTTTTATTTATTTATTTTGAATTTATTATTATTTTTTAATCTCTCTTTTTTTTTTTTTTTTTTTTTTTAGGAGAAGAGAATGTACTTCATGTATTCCATAAGAATTAAGAAGTTTCCCTTAATTTTCAGTTGTTCAAAACCAGCTGATAGGAGAGTACTCACCATTGCCCATGAGCAGTGCAAACCCTGTAGGGGACCAACATCACTGCTGGGTGCCAGTCCAGAAGCAAAAGGGCCCAGCCATGACCTTGACCTCTGTTGTAACTCCACTCTAGAAAGATGCAGGGCCCTCAATTTTAAAGCAAGATTTGCATTTTCCAAAGTGTTGATCCCTCAGCAAGCAGCCAGCAGTGAAGCAGAGCCACAAGCACACTGGGACATGATGCATGATCACGTTCCCAGTGTGGCTGCATGCACAGCACTTCCACGAAGCTGAAGATCCTGCAGGTCAGAGCTTTTGCCCGTTCAGTTGAGCAGAAGGATTTAAGTAAAACAAAAGACCAGCACCTCAGATAGCTTAAGGGAGTCATTCTCTATGACAAAGAACTAAATATATTCCATTTGTGTTTTATGTTGTCATAAATATGCATGTGAGATTAAGGAAATGTGCTCGCTGGCGTGGAGCAGCATGGTAGGTGCATGCTTAAACAGCATCTGCACATGGATGTGCTACATCAGTGCACAGTCACTTTATCTTCATGTGCAAGTGGAGATTTAATATGTAGAGATAAAAGTGAAATAAAATTTGGGAAACCTATCCACGTCACTGATGGAAGAGTTTCACTCCAAAATGCTGTGTGCAGTGAATCTCTTCGATGCTCTGAGCAGAGCACCAAGCCCCACGGACCTTCACTGCAGAGCAGCAGGTTGGAGGTTGCTGCAGTTGTGGTTCTGTATGGGCAGGGCTGTAGGGCCCCGGGCACACCAGACTTCTCGTTCCCTTTAAATAGTCTCAGTTCAGTAGCTATTTAAGTCCAGAAGGAGTCTGCGTGGAACTGATGAAGAAAAAATTAAAACACTTGAAAATGCTATTTTGAGGTTTACAGAACTTGAATAAATGAGCATATTAACTATTCAATTATCTATGGCATTTTGCATATTTTGTCATTCAGCCCACTCTTACTCCCAGCTATGACAGCATCCCTGTGCAGGAGCTGGGCGATCTTTCAGAAAGGTGCTGGAAGTCCTCCTCTCCAGGCTGCTTTTCTGAGGCACTTTGATGAGCAGCAGCTAAATGAAGGTCACTCTTTTCTTTGTCTCGCCTTCACAGCTTTTTATCTTAGTGTTGCCTTAATGTCTGTTTTACCAGTTTCCAATATCAGCTGTGTTTTCTTCATTGTGATCTATAGGCTGGAAAGAGATAAGGACTGATCTTAGCTTGTATTAATATTGACTACCAGTAGGTGAGTTATGACAAAGAGTCATCATGCTATGGTTATGGTGAGCTACAAGTTTCTTCGTGTTCATTTTTCAGAGAGGTTTTTACCTCTAAGGATCTCCTGATCCTCTATTAAAGTGCATTCCTATCAAGGACAATTTGTGAGAGTTATGTTACTGAAGTACCGCTATCAAGCACAAGATGTGGGACTTGTCTGATCAAAAGCAGATGTCTACATATATGCATATGGGATATCAAATATATATATCTTACACCTTGTCATCTAGATTTCCCTTAGAATTCACAGCCTGAGGAATGTCATCACAAAACACTTCCTATTGCAATGCAGGTGTTGGAGGTGGAAGAGCACCTTAAATGTCCCCTGGTTAAGGACAGGCTTGAGGCTGACAGGCTCAGATGGGAGCATCCTGAGGGCTGTTATCTAGTCATGTTTCCACTGCCTGCCTGGAGAGTGCAACCAAACCACCATTGAGACCAGGATGTTGTAACTGAATAAATCTTCTTGAATATTGCTGTTACTCAAAAAATAATATTTGAATATCACTGTGAAATTTCCATGCCATCCTATTAGCAATATTTTGTCTTTATAGAAGACTTTTCACCCATAAATTCTTTCACAAATACAGATCTGTCCTATTGTTCAAATTTAATATGTGAGCAAATAAGGCTCACAGAGGATCAGCAATTCCTAAGCAGATCCAAAGAGAAGAGCCAGGTTTCACTTCAGTTTGTCCATCACACCATGGAGCCTTACCCGAGGCTCAACACCAACAGGAGTAATTCACAGAGCATGCAATATTTGCATGGTCCTTACCCACTTTGGTTGGTCCTTACCCACCAGACAAAGGGTAAATAAGACTTTCAGAGCTGCTTCTTGATTTAATGAAAGATAAATAATAAAGACTCCTATGCTTTCAAATTTTCATTTCTCCTAATTATGAGTTGCCCACAATATTACTGAAGATGACTCTTCCAGGACAGTTACACTAGATTTGTAGTATCCTCCATCACAAGTGAAAACCTAGAAACTGCTTTCAGAAATGGTTGATTAGCAATCAAAAAAAACACCCTCTGGTCAGCTGTTGGCTATAACTCACAGAAGGTGGGGCTCAGGCAGCTATAAAGCCTGCTATATGGCAGAGGGAGCTTCTTCTGCAGGCTGGTAGAGATGGGTGTTGGTTCTTCTCAACAGGAACATATTTTCCTGGTAAGCAGAACAGCTGAGCCATAGATCTTAAAGCAGTTCTGGAGGTTTATTTCAGCTCTGTCTAAATTCAGTGTGAAGATGCAAGGGCTGCCGTGGAGGTTTCTGATGAAATAACTGGCTTTCTGTTTCTCTGGGGGTCTTTCCCAAGAGACCTCAGCTATCCTTGCAGCCTTTGCCAGCCCAGAGGTGGGTCTGCAGGGGCGATCCAGCTGCCTTTGGTGCAGGCAGGGGGGTGGCTGGCCTCTCACCCTCCTCCTATCTATGTCCCTTATAAGTGGAACAAATTGGGCACAGTTTGTGCCAAACCAACAACTGTCTCCCTTGGCTCTGATTAATTCCAGAAACTTACAGAGTTAGCCTTGAGAGGCTGCTGTCCTTTTATGTTTTAGATCCCCTTCTCTTGTTTCTTGAGTTTTCCCAGTGCTGCTTGTGCTATCTTCAGTTTGGGCTGTGTGGCTGGTCACAGAATGGTCTGTAATTGTCTTTGGGATCCAAGCTCTCTTCAAGGCAGGCAGCCCAGGGGATGCCTGGGGAGGTTGCTTGTCACTCAGCAGAGCTGTTTTGCTGCTGTAGGGGTTCCTGCTGTGCTCCTGATGCCCACATTACCTGGGTGGTGAACATACCAGAGGAAAAGGCACTGCAGATGCTCTCAGGAAACAGGTATCTCCCCCAGCCATGTTCAAAACTCAGAGCTTTAATGAGCTGCATGAAGTTTTTCCCTGTTCAAAGTGAGCCCCAATGTCCTTGTTCCACTAACATCTACTTTAATTAGCTCATTCATTTTCCAAGCATTTGCACAGGGGATGATTGAGGAATTAAGATAAGTAATTTTATGAATATTGCTATGAATAGTAAATGCTGTTCCTATTAGAATGGATAGTTAATAAAACATTTTTATTTCCTATTTTATGTTCCTGCTCTATTTTCAAATAAAGCAATGAAAAACAATTAGACAAACTAATACTTACTGCCAAAATGGGAAAATACTGTTCAGTCCATAACCAAAGAAGTTGTAATAAACTTGTTTTTGTATTAGTGAGTCAAATTGTTGAAGTGAAAAGATCAAATTTATAAAACAATATCCAAGTTCATTTTCATCAGGATGATTTATCTACTGAAAACAGGGGCAAGAGCTTTGATGTATATCTAAACTAATTTGTTAGTTAAATAATTATACATAGAGTAGAAGACAAGAATAAGAAGGGGACCAATTGGTAAATATTTTTTGCAAGCAAAAGGAACTCTGGAGATAGGACAAAAGATGCGTATGGAAGATAATCAGTTCTCAGATATCCTGAGATAAATTCAATTCTCACTTGTTTGTTTGCAAGTAATTTCATCCCAGACCTCAGACGGAGATTTTAAATTATCTTCACCTGTAAGGAAGTTTGTATTTAAAAACAAAAATTACAGTTGTCATGAGCTCCTGGGGTTGGGAAAAAAAATGATCCATAAAATGAGTAAAATGTGTGTGCTTGTTTGTGGAGGGTCAGATGGAGAGCAAGACAATAAAACAGCAAAGAAGCTTTTTTTTCCTGGAAGCCACAGGAAAAAAATATATTTAAATTGGTACTTTATGTCTCAAGAGCCCGTTCCAAAGATCATTAATGTGAAAATAAAAGATAATTGAGGATATCACTAGACTACATTGATGAACACTAAATACTGACCTTAGAGCAGACATAAGGCAGAGCACTGTGGAAGATAATGTTATATCGGGGGGGCCGATAAAAGGAGAGAGCTCTATTTTTAATGTCTGGGTCTCTAGCTGCACTGAACATTATCCTAAACAGTCAACTGAAGCACTCATAGGTGGTGGATAATAACCTCTGAGAAACAACTTCTTGGTTGCAATCTAGTTTCTACTGAGTGAGTAGAGAACTTTAAGTGGAAAACACTGTTGGATGTTTAATGCTGAAAGGCAATCTGCCTTGGTGGGAAGTTGCTGGCGCACATTGGCAGACAGGCAAAATCTAGGCAAGAGCCCCCAGGCATCTTCTTTGGTGAAGTGGTGGAAGAAGCTTTCACTTTGGTCGTTGCAATTACATTTATGCAATTAATACTGTAATGAGTAAAGAATGTGAAGGCAACTTAGTGCTGTGATATTTCCTCCTGGACTAGCAAGACTCTCCCTTTTACAGCACGTTTATCTGCAAAGATCCCAAAGATTATGTCTTTTGGGAGCAGCTCTCACCAGCTTGGAACAGGTTTGGTGCTTAGACTCCAACAGTCTCCATATCACCTATTAATAAGCTCTGCTATCTCAATCAAAGAGGAAGAAGTCATTACCTGGGAACAAGCCTGCATCTTTGCCTGGGTACCGCAGCACCCATGGGAGCAATGCAGGCAGCTCGTGTGCTGATGTAGTGCAGCAAACCTCATGCGGAGCTGCACAAAGTACTGCACCTGAACCACGGGCTGTGAGGGACAGATCCTTCATGTGGGGGTGAGTCCTGAGTGAAGTAAATGCCAAAAAAAAAAAATCCTGGCAAACCTAAATGTTGAAGTTGGGGTTACTGATGCCTCCAACTACTGTTTCTGGTAATTTAAATAATGCAGGAACACTGCTGACTGTCAAGAACTGCAAAGGAGAAGAAAAAAACAACTCTAGTGAAGTGTGTCAAACCTCAGCTTCAAGGCTGGAGCAAGCTATTATGCCCTATAACGCTGTTAATTCTTTCCTATTCCTTAATCTTCAAATGTTCTTGGCACCCAGCCAGTTCAGAGCGCATGTTGTAAATCACTGAAAATTATAGTATATGGCTCTGAGTATATTTCACCTGTCAGATTCATTCTGTTTGGGGAGAGCTGGAGAAAAACTCAAAGGTTTAACTTCTGTAGAAAGTCTCCTCTAAAAAGTACAATGGACAAAAAAAAATGCCAATGGGTTCATGTGAAACATCTGGGGTAGATGCGTAAGCTGCCTTGAAGCAGCAAAGATCCCTTCAGCCTGTCTGAGTCTTGGAGCTGTTGCTTGGCACTGCAGGATCAGGGTTGGCATGGGGCTGAGAAGCAGGTCAAAATGCAGATGTGATGCACAAGGGGACCACCTGCAGTTTTCTGCAGGATTTAGAAACTTCTGGGCTCATTCCAGGGACTGGATCTGCCTGGCTGGCACTGGCAAATTGCTGTCTTTTGAAGGGGCTCCCAGTTCTTTTCTTTTGTTTATTGCTACCCTTTTGGGCCCTTGGGTTCTGAAACTCTGAAACTTTCTTGTTTCTGAATTCAAATCAAGAGTTGCTTCAGCCCTTGCCAATAGAGGTCAAAGGCTTGTGGTGCAGCCTGAGCTCACCTGCCCACTCTGGAAAGCTTCAGCACAGAAAAATGTGGACAACATAACATTCTTTGGCTTTTTCATCTGCCCCTTAAACCTTTGTCCACTTTGTAAAGTGGTTTTCTTTTTAATCCAAGACCCTAGTTGCCGTTCTCTTTCTTGATTCAAAGCTGCTTTGACAGGTGCTCTGGTAATCGAGTTCCCTTTGGGTCTGAAACTCCACCATGGGGCATCATTGCTTTCTCACTTTGGACTGGAGTTCTAGCGTTTGGTCTCTAAGTCTCAAAACACATCTCAGTGCATGCAGAAGTACTTGTGGTGCTCGGTCTTCAGGTGATAAATGCATTGGAAGAAAGAACAAGTACTTGAACAGATCCTGGCACAATCCTAGGGAAAGTTTCGAGCACAATATTAATACTAAGCTGCCTTCAGCATGCAGCTTTGGATGGGGAGCAGTGAAAAAGCAATGGAGCCCACTACTAGCAGAGTAACAAGAGGAATACTGAGAATATTCTCAGATGCTATTATCATCCCAGAAGATATTAAGTAGTGCAAAGCCCAAAGGAAATTACAGCACAAACTGGAGATGAAGCTAGCCGTCTCCCAGCTGATGATGCTGTCTGCTCCACCACGCTCAGCTATCACTCATTAAGCTGTGAAGTATATATTTGTTGTATAGCGAAGGCAGCAGTATTCATAGAAGACTCGCAGAGTGTGCAAACTGTCACTTTATGCATAACCTTGTTAGTAATAATGTCTACTCACATTACCTGCTTGGCTAACCCGGGCAGGCTGCGAGAGCAAGAGATGAGGTTTCCACCCAAAAATCTGCAAGCACTGTGAGCCCTGTGTGGGGATGGACAAACAGCCTGCTTACAAGCAGCATCTGAGCCTAGTTATAGCACTGCTCTCCAAAGAATCAAAATGGGAACACTATCTGCATGGAAAACTTTTTTTTTGTGGCAATTCTGTGAACACCAATGGCATCATTTGTTGCACCAGGAGCCCCAGTGCACACATAACAGTGGCATCGTATTGGAGGCCCTCTGAAATGTCTCCAGCACAGACATAAGGCCACCAATCTTTCCAGCAAGTGCCATTTCTGTGCAAGTGTGCTTTGTTCTGAAGGGGTGAATTTTGTTAGGTGTAGCCGTGGCCCATAGGGTGCTTGGCAGTGCAGGGGAGACAGGATGGCTCTTATATTGATCTTGAAATTCCAGCAGACTGGACCTGGTTTTGCAGGGAATCACTTGAATGCAGTGAGCAGCTGTCCTAAAAGACCAAAGACAAACGCCACCAGGTTTTAATCCCCAGGCGCAAAAAGCCCTGGGTTGGAAATGAAACGTTATTTCAAACTCCAGCAGGTTTATTATGAAATAGTTGTCTTGGCCAGAGCAGCGAAGATCAACTTCCAGGAAAATGTGTGGGTCCTCATTTTAATTTCAAATTCTGTTTAACTACAGTGCTAATTACCATTTAAAGCCAAAGGCTTCTGTTCACATTTGAGAATCTTGCGAGCAGGATTTTTAAAGCCTTTATGATTCACCTTTAAGTAGCTGGCAGTCATCGTTGTCGCATCAAAGTTTAATTTGCTCTGCTCCAGTACAAAGTCCTCGCTATTTGGTTGGCAAGAATGCTTGGGTTAATTACTCTCTCCCATAAAAAGGACAAATTAAATGTAAATAGCCAACAGGTCCAACTAAATAATGAAAGAAATGCCTGTTGCATAACACACTGGATTTTGCATCTATTTAAGCTTAGTTTATTCAAGTATAATGACGACAGTTGTATTTTCTCTTCTTTAAACATATTTATGGTGTCTGCAGAAGAATTAAGATGGGGTTTTTACTAACTAAGCCCAAATTTGTATTTGCCTTAGAGTAATCCAAAGCAGCAATGATTCCAGCTGAGGCACCCCTCGTAACCATCAGCCAGGAACAGAAGCCGTCATCTCTTCCCAGAGTACCTGGGGTATCAAAGCTGTGCCACTCCGGGTGCGTGCTCCTTGCTGAAGGACCTGTGAAACTGTGCTCAAGGAGGAGCTGGGCTGGTGGTGAGTGGGTTGAGAGGAAGATCAGGCTGACTGGTGGGTTTACTTGTCTCTCCTTTTTGTGTCTCCCTCACTAAGTGAGTAGATAGATGAGCAGTGACACTTTTAAAATGTCTATATCCCTGCAAGTAAATACAAATGCTCCAAAACATTGCTACTCCTGCCCTCCCATTTCTCCTTAGAAACAGTCTTTTATTATTTTATTATGTGCTTTAGCCTGCTTCTAGCACAATTTGCTTTCTTATGTTCCACGTGAGAACCTCTGAGGGCATGCTGTGAATTGCTGTAGCTCTGGAGACATAGATGCTCTCGGTAATTTGTTTAAAAAAAAATAGTGCTCTCCATTTCCTCTTTCCATTGTGGCCTAAGTTCAGCAAAGAGGAATCTGAACACCAGTGCAAGAAAACAAGAGTTAACATCTGATATAGTCTTGCCTGAAATATTCTGAGACAAAACTTTTCAAAATAAAGTTTATTGATGCAAAGGAAAAGCCTAAAGAAAGTTGCTCTTCACAGCATTTTACTACAGCGTCAGGAGGTGATAAAAGTCAGAAGGACTTTTCAAAGGGCTTCATAACTTGAAAGGAAAAGGTATTGAGAATATTTAATGTAGCTGTTATGTTTGAACATGGCTCATTTATGCCCAAATGCTAGTCTTCACTTCTCCACAATCCCTGTAACTTCTATATGATGAAAGGGCATGCTGAACACCTATAAAATGTGCTCTTACAATATAGGCAGTTCTTCTGGAGAATGACTACAATTTCTTCATTCAACACAGGTTATATAACAATCAGGGAAATCATATTCCATTCATTTGGAAAGTTCTTAAAAATTGGCATCTAGATGTATATTACTGGAGAAACTTTAAAAAAAAAAAAAGTAACCTGCACTGAAGTATAATAGAAAACTGCTTGATGTTTGTCTGTGGTCCATAAAGCAGATTTGCTGAAGTATGTAATGGTCAGAAGGGTGAACCAGACAAAAACTAAAGGCTTTTGAACAAGGCACCAGTGAGATTCACCTGGAATATGCCTGGCACACCTCATTGCAGAAGAAAAATGTAAAACTGGCAGGGATTCAAGGAAAGGAGGTAAAATAAGATTCTGGCTTGAAAAAAAAAATACCAGATTTGGTGAGCAAGGGGCTAAAAAGGTGAGGACAGACTACCCAGAAAAAGAGACAAATGTCATGGGAATATCAGCTTTTAGCAGATAACAAACAGCCTGGAGAAGGTAGCTTGGGAAATTCTTATTTGCCCATCTCAACACTGCAGCATGAAAACATTCAAAGAATTTAAAAAAAAAAAAAATGTTTTTATATGCAAAACAAATGATTTCCCCATGGAACTCACCACTTAAGTGAGTCAATGAAATTAAGAAGATGCCAAGACCTAGAATTAGTGGCTAAGATGAATATTAGGAATATCCAGAGTGGCTGCAATTAGTTATAACAAAAATGCTGTGGAAGAGATGAAAATTCACGTTCTACCACTCAAAGCAATCCCTAGCTATAAAGGTAAAACCTCATTTGCAGAGCAGATTATTCCTCATCTGTTTACTTCACACTCCAGCTTTCCTTTGAGGCATCTATTATAAATTCCTGTCATCAGAAACAAAGTGCTACTTTCACAGAACAACAGGATGGTTTGGGTTGGCAGGGATCTCACAGCCCACCTAATTCCAGCCGCTGCCCCCAACCCCATCCAGCCTGGCCTTGGGCACTGCCAGGGATGGGGCAGCCTATGCCAGGGCCTTGCCACCCTCTGAGGGAAGGATTTCTTCCAAATGTCTGACCTAAACCTATCCTCTTTTGGTTTAAAGTCATTCCCCTTGTCCTATAACCATACCCCCTGACACAGAGAACCTCCCCAGCTTTCCTGCAGCCCCCTTCAGGCACTAGCAGGCTGCTGTGAGGTCTCCCTGGGGCCTTCTCTTTTCCAGGCCAAACACCAACTCCTTCAGCCTGTCTCCATAGGAGAGGTGCTCCAGCCCCTTAATCATCTTTGTAACCCACTCTAACAGCCCCACATCCTTGTGCTGGGGGCCCAGAGCTGGGTGCAGGGCTCCAGGTGGGGCCTCACTAGAGCAGAGCAGAGGGGCACAATCCCCTCCCTCACCCTGCTGCCCGTGCTGCTTTTGTTGCAGCCCAGGTTACGGTTTGCTTTCTGGGCTGCAAGCACACATTGCCAGCTCACATCAAGCTTTTCATCAACCACCACCCCTAGGTCCCTCTCTGCAGTGTTGCCCCCTATCCGCTCATTGCCAGGCCTGGATTTGTGCCTGGGAGAGCCCCGGCCCCAGTGCAGGACCTCGCAGTTGTTGAATTTCATGAGGTTCATGTGGTCCTGCCTCTCAGGCTTTATGTGAGCTTTGATTGGAGTTCTATGAGTCTGAGGTTTTTAGGCTTAGAAAACTCATCTCAACATGAGAAATACCTGAAAAAGTAATTTTCACAATGTGTGAGTTGCAGGGAACATTTACTTTTTTTATTTCTTTTCATGACTGAAGTGAAACTGCACCTTATATTTATAAGTAATTTTTTGCTTAGCCAAGCCTTATGAAACAAGAAGTTTGTAGTTTTGCAGTATATGCTAAGTCTAAGGTCCACAAATTCAAACCATAACTACATTTGGAGCTTCACGGCCAGGTCAAAAATTCATTTTATTGTAATCTCTGCATGCATTATGGCCACTTCCAGTTACACTGGAGAGATCATTTCTGTGCTGGAAGGAAACCACAGTAAGACCGAGTTCTCTCCCAGGCAAATCTGATTTGACTGGTTTAATAATTTCCCATTCCCATCAGCAGAGAACTACAAAATTCAGTTCAGCTGTGTCTTGGGTTTTCCCACATTTAGTGAAATGAACTTTCTATAGGATGAAAAGTCATGATATGTTTTTTTTTTTTTTTTTTTTTTACTGTTCTTGTGAAATATTTCAATTCAGAAAAGACTGATTGTTTGGGCAGGTTTGGGGAAGGGGGTGTTAAGTTTTATTTTATTCAGGAAAATGGATCCAAATCCATCCAATTCCATTCTTTCCAGCTGCCTTCCTCCTTCAATCATCCCTATTTTAACAAAAAGTGAAAGAGAAATAAAGTAAGGAGAGACAAGGAAAAAATGGAGTGGCTTCATGTGCTTGAGCTGCAGCCCCCAGCCAGCAGCTGTGGCCACCCAGCTTGGGCACAGGGTGCTGCAGGTCTGCCTGTCCTCACCTGGCTGTTGTCAGACTGTGCACCCACTGTGAATCCCCAGCCAGGAGCAGGTGCAGGACATGCCCCCACCCCAGCAAAGCTCTTTTGCATCTTGGGCTCAGGGATGAAAGCTCTGCAGGATTTGCAGTGGGGAATGGGGAGGATGCAGTGCCCAGGGCAGGTCTTCTAGCTGGCTGGGTGCTTTGCCACCCTCCCTTCTCCACAGATAGAATTTTTGCTATATCTTTCCTCCTTAGTCTGTGCAGAGAGGGGATGGCTGTATGTAATTTCCTTATCTTTCCTAGGTGTGCAGTTCCCAGCTTTATCATGTAATTTTCCCAGCACTGTTTTGAACAGTTCCAGATTCTTGCTAATAGTTTTCCTTTAGTTCTTGCTCCCAATTAACCTTTCATACTTCCTTTAATCCAGTAAACTGCACTTTCCACCATTTACATTTTTTATCTTACTAATTGAGTTTTTTCATCTCTATCTTTTGATTTCAAATCTAATTATATTGTTATCAGTGGTGTAAAACCAGTAGGTTATTGATAACTTCTGTTCATTACTAAATTAAACTCTGCCTTATCATTGTTCATTGCTTAGCACTCTGATGTGGAAATCAACCTTCGCTCAGCTCTTCAATCCTTTCCACTGTTTCCCAAGGTTTGATTTACTAAATAACTTGTGTTAAATCATTTTGCCCAGCCTTCTTCAATAACAAAATTCAGCTGTGGCTTTGTCCAGGCTTTATTAAAAATACATGGCAAGCAGCAAGAGATTAGCCTATCACTCTGTGAAAGGTTCAAGTGTTCCTAAAGTAAAACTGTATTTATGAGCAAACAGAAACATTTCTCCAAGATCCTTCAAAATCTTAGACAAAAAGCAGAATTTCTGTAGTGCTTGTGGCACATATATCCCCTGAATGCATTCACATATATATTACCTTTTGTGTCACAGTGAGACATCCTGAGAATATTATATATTCTTGTGTCTGTGAAATCTGAGAGCCATTACATATTCCTTCCCGATCCTCTGCTGTAGATGAATTAACTGAACGCTAATTTGTGACTCAACATTGGCAGAGATGACTCTGTTAAAATAAATAATTATGTATTTTTTTTTGCCATAAGGCAAAGTTGATCCCAAGTTTTTCATATAGTGATAAAATAAATATTGGCTATCATGGACTGGTAAATGCTGCTAATAAGCTTTATCCAGGGGATAAAATAAAAACACAACTGTCAACAAATATCTGAGACCAGGCACATCTCACTTGAGACAACACACCCCAGTATTAGTACCATATTTATGAGATGTGAAAACTATGAACATAGGAAATCCCAACCATATATGCTGGCTGTTGATAGATTTTCCCACCCCACTGCATGCAAGGTGATTGCTGTCTTTTCTCTTTACACTCATGGTTCACTAACTGCCTTCAGAGGGTTCATTTCCTTCAAAGTGTACAGGGCAGATAATTATTTTACCACACTGTGTAGTAATGTTTTTTTTGTTTGTTTGTTTATTTTTCATGTAGTCTACCAAGCTTTCAAGCCAAGAAATCACTGTCATCTGATGCCCGTAAATACCAGATTTCTGGACACACTTAGTCTCCAAGTAATAACCTGAATTAAGTTCAAAACTTCCTTGGAAATCCAATTCAGGCAATTTTTACTCAGAGCAACATTGCAAAGGCTACGTCAGCTGACCTGAAAAATCTCTCTTCCACAATGATTAAACGCATCCCAGATTGCATATATTTAGCTTTTGCTGCAAGAGACAAAGCGTCTTGTTCAGAACAAGTGCAAATCATGTATGGAAGGCACTCCAGCACAAAGTGAGGGTCATCTCACTTCTACAGTACAAAGGAGAAGAATATTACGAAATTTAGAGATATTCAATTACTACTGGTGGAAGGCCATGGAAGTTCATAGAGAGCTCAGGAGGGCAATATGGTATAGAATAAGAAATTAAGTTAGGTATCAGCTGCATAGAAATGAAAATGAACTGGACATTCATGTTACAGAAGAACAAAAATTACTAATGTGATGACCAGACAAAGAGATCAAGAGTAAAGAGGGCACTACCGGAAAATTATTTCCAGCAATCACTGGACAAGATGGTACTGGAGCCATCTCATGATAGGAGGATAAAGACAGGGTTTTGTTAATCTCTCAGAGAAGAATATTTAGAAGACACGATGGGCCAATGTCAAATTTGGTGTAATTTTGCTGAAATCACTTGAGAAACTCAGGAGATGTATGTAGTCCTGTGAGTCCATGGTTACACGGAGGCTGAAATCCTTTGCAAGGATTTCTGGAGACAGGGTACAGACCTTTATCAACTGTCACAGCCATTCACCCTGAGCAGTGATTAACGATATTGAGTTTTACAGATAATTTGTCTAGCATCTTGCCATAGTGTTGTGATATCAGCAAAAGTCATTCCTTCTGTAAGGTTACAGAAAAAGTTTAGAGCTCCTTCCTATGGATGACACAGCCTCTTTGCCACTAACTCCAGAGAAGCTATTATCCAGTTATTATCCTTACTGCAAGTTTAACTGGGCCTAAACAATTGAACATCCTGCTTTCCTTGTTCCCTGGCAGAACACAGTTTTAGATCCCAGCCGTTCCCTTTCTCCTTTATTCCTTGCAACAAAGTGAGAGTCCCATATCACATATTTTTTACACTGGATGTTTTAGTCTTTCCTGCTTCCCTGAGGACTGATAGATCTTTGCAAGTGAGATACAACAAATGAAATGTAAAAGTCCCTCGTGCTTTCTAATGTAAGCTGCAGTGCAAAGAGACAGACTGAGCCTCTTCTACATGTCCTTAAAAGAGAAGAAAAGTTGCTGTCTGGATAGTCTTGAGTGACTAAGACTTGAGGCCTAAGAATTACATGGATTTATTATTATTTTTTTTTAATATTATTTTTTCATACAAAAGTTTTGGAGAGTGGAATGTACAGCAAAATAAAAGCTAATGAGTATTCTTCAGTCTTTGACAAAATGTAGTTTGGGTCCTCCGCTGGAATGGACTCAGAGACGTCCCAGATTTCAGAGCAACTTTACCAATTTTCACCTTCTTAGCTTCTGTTGCTTAAAAATTGCTAAGTCCTTTGCTACCATAAGGCTTATTTTGGAAACAGTCAAGGTGTGTTGCTGTTTAAAGGAGTGCCATCGCGCATAATTTTCACCTTCTTTAAATTCCACGATGCTCTGCTATAACATAAATAAATGCCTGAGTACACTTGTGGAATACTCTGTTTTCTTAAGATAATTCAGAGCTCATGTACCTGTAAATGCGATGCAGTTGGACGTGATTTGTTATTCTTTGTATTACGTGTAGACTGCAGGAGATGGGATGGGATGGGATAGTGCAGTAGGAAGGGACCTTCAGAGATCAATGGATTTACTCCACTCCTGCCCCAACCATGGATAACATCGTTAAACACAGCTGGCCTAGAACTAGGCCCTAAGGGACAGTTCATCACCCAGCATAGTGTGACCCATTTATCTCACAGGTGGACAGAAGGATGTCGTGAGGGATGGTATCAAATGCCTTACTGAAATCCAGAAAGGTTAAGGCCACTGCCTTCCCTTCCTCCACCAAGCAGGTGACCTTATGGAACAAGATTAAATTACGGAGGCGGGACTTTCCCTTGATGAGCCCATGATGACTATGCCTGATACCAGCTTTGTTCTTTAAGTGCCTTTCCATATCCCCAGGACAGTCTTCTCCATAATTTTTCCAGGGACTGCGGTTAGGCTGGCAGGTCTGTAGTTTTCTGGGTCTTTTCTCATGCCCTTTTTGTAGATGGGTATAGCAGTGGCTAGTTTCCAGTCAGGAGGGACCTCCCCGGACTCCTGACTGTTAGAAATCTGTGTTAGTCCCACTAATTCCGTGATAATTCTGATTTTTATTGCCTGGCAGTTCTGGTCCCCCATTTGACAATGCCCTGCCAGCAAAGACCAAGGACCATTTGTTTGCCTCTGAAACAGGGCAGAATCCTTTAACTCCATCAATCAGAATATCCATTTTTCTTCTGATGTTCTTTGCCTGTCTGGGGAGCTCTAAACCACCCAGAGCTGGAGGATGTAGGTGGATTAAGCATGGTTTGCTGAGCCTGAAATGAGTGCAGTAACTCAGGTCCAGAGAGCTTCAGGAGCAGGTGGTTTTGCACAGGGCTGGAAATGACTCCCTGCCTCTTTGAAGATGCTCCAGGGAGCAACTCCTCCCTGCTCATCCAGGTCTGGTCTTCAACATCATTCTCCACCTTTCCTCCCTGATGATGAGAACTGACAGAGCTCAGGAGCTGGGAATTACATGACAGACCAGGCTGGCAGGCTAAGTTTGACACCTTTTCTTTTCATGCAAATGCATCAGCACCCACACACACCCATGAACCAGGGAAAGCTCTTAACGTGGGGTAGGCATCTGAGCATTACAAGAAAATTTGCCACTCCACATTATATCCTGATAGCATTTTCTGTTTTCTGCACAAGCTTGCCTGGGAACCCAGTTTTCTTTTAGATTTAAATTGGGACTTTTGGGAAAGAATCTGAGTCCTCCACCATTTCTGACCTTTTTTTTTTTGGGTACCTATTTTGGTACTTCAGCCTTCTGCTATACTAACTTCCCTAACAGACTCAGATCTTTATTTCCAGAAATGGAGAGCTTACTGGGCTTATCCCATGCTTCATGATGAGGCAATGGAGCAGGTTTCTGCACTCCTCTTAAGGTGGGATTTTCCAGATCCTTTTTTGGACACCTACAGAAAAAAATTTACATGATACTATGGCTACAAGAGTAAGAAAAAAAAAAAAAAAGCATTTGCTTTTCAGGCATGCCATATAGTGCAGAAAATTTATGATGCTATTGCAAATGAAAGTCAGACTTTGTGACAAATGAGTCGTTATTAGCCTGTGAAATATCACTCAGTTTAGTTAGCCAGGGCATTATTAAGCTGAGAAGGACGTGATGGGACATTTACAGGAGCAGACAAATGGTTCGAGATCGCACCCACCTGTATTGTTTATGACGCATACTTTGCTCGGTTTGGCAGGGTGCCATGCGGGCTGTGTTAATTTTAGCAGCAAGGACACTAAAGAATGCAGACATTGTTAATAATGTATGCTGTTGGGGTCCTCTCTTGTTTCTGTGCTCCTTGTTGCAGTCCTCTGTGTATTCATTGCGAGACAAGAGAGGGAGGAAGCCAGCAGAGAAGAAAAGAAAAGAACCCCAAATACCCAGTCCTTGTCCTCCTAGAAAGGCACGAGGCCAAATTCCCTGACTGTATAAATGGGGAAGGGCCTGCAGAAATCAATGCATTTTCTAAAGACAAGCTTGTCAAGAAACTGGCCCTACTTCTGCATTTGCCTGTTGCCTGCAGGCATCCCAGCCTTATTTAGAGATGCTCAGTAGCTCCAGTTTTCACGGAGGTCAGGGAGGTGACAGACATTTCTGTGATGTACGACTGGAAACTGGAGCAAGACTGAGCTCCCCACTGCAGTTCTCTGCGGTGCCTGTCAGCACTGCTCAGCAAAGTCTCTGCACCTCCCTGCTTCAAATTCCCCATTTTTGGTGAAGAGCAGATCCGTGATGCCACTGCCTGTGGGCTCACTGTCTCCTCTGCTGCCCCCAGTCATCCACATCCAGAGCTCCCCCTCTCAGACAATATGGATGCAAGCACAAGGTTTCCCCATATATGTTAAGCATCTCCCTTTTTGTTGTTTGTTTTTCTCTTTTCCTAAGTTCTGGGTGCTCTGGGTTGCAAGCCCTGCTGAAAAGGGCTGATTCTTCTTCTTGTATCTGAAGCGAATTTGTCTGCTATCACAAACAAGCAGAAACGAAGAAAGTACCAAGACAAATGTAGATCTTAATAAGAAATATTTAGTTTTTAACATGCTTGTTATGACTGATTAATTAAATGTCTCATAAATACAGGGAAGGCAGCTGCAATTCCAGTTTCTGAGCAAAATATGTCCACCTACTGTAATAAATCTCTCCTTAAAGCTTTATGGATCCTTTAACCTTTGAATTTGCATTGCCTTTTCTGTTACTGTCTCCAGCAATGAATCAATTGTCATGCCATTTTCCAGCAAATGTTATAACCCAGTCATTCACAAACTCCTGTTGCAAATCTACCTTCCTGCACACTCCTATTTGTTAATGCAACAACCTTCAGAATCATCCATTTTAAGAATAGCAGAGTGGGATCAAATTTTTGAGCATAATGACAATGTCAGTGTAGTTTATGAAACCATAACAATGTAAGAAATGACATCTGGTAAGCCCATCATGCATGTAATGTATGGTTAGCTTCAATGATTCCTCCGAGTTTTGCTCTCTCCGTAATGTATGGGTGGCAGGATGCCACTCAAAGGAAGGAGAAGCACTCAGCTGCCTTGAATATAAAGTGCAGAATATACTATGCTTCAGCGGGCAGGCTGGTGGCACAGGAATGCTGATGCAAGCGCCCTGTGGAAATGCTGCTGACAAACAGCGTTACAGGAACAGCCGGGTCCATAACGGAAGGACTGGGCTGGGGGAAGGTTTCTGTGTTCGTACAGAAAGGGCTCGGTGGCTACCATGGGGCTGGGCAGTGGTGTCCACAAGGGTAAGCAAGATCTCTAGGATTTAAGTGGGAATAAACCTGATGTGGTCTGTGCCATCATCTTCTTCCCAATCTGCCTGTCAGTGGCACTTACAGGCCACATTACAAGAGACCTTTGAGACCTGGCCCTCAAGCATGCCTATTTAGGCAAAAAACTTCAGTCTGAGACAGTGGCCCCAAATCCCACTGAAGCAACATAAAAATGGAACCCCAAATCATATATCTCCATTAACACCCCAAGCAGCTCCTACATCACTCTTTTCTGGAGTCATCACAGAGAAACCCTTTGCCAAGTCAGGTTCTTCTGTTTCCATACAGCAGCTCGTAAAGGTGGTACCTTGATTGTAGAACACTTGGTTTGGTTGGAGTCGTGTCCCTGACACCAAAAGCATCAGCAGAAGGAAGATGA